GGTTCATTCCTTTTGGAGCCGTCGTAGTGGTTGGTTTGCAAAGTGGTTTGCAAAGATCAAGTGAGGGCCAGCACCTGTGGATCCATTGCAACCCTGACTCTTCCCTTGTCCAGCTTGGGGTCTTTCAAGAGAATTTCTCTGCTCTTCACCCAGTGAGATGTTCTGCACCCGTTTTGAAGAAGAGCTCTTAAGGCTTCATGTCGGGGTTCCTGTGGCTTCACTGCCCGTGCAGCACCCGGATTTCCGCCAAGGATTGATCCTCCAGCTGCGTCCGAGCGAAGGCACTAGCGAGGGACGGGGCTGACGTCGGACCACCTACACCGAGCGCCCAGTCTTTGGATCAGACTGAGCACCGTGAAGTCCTAGGAACAAGGGCATCGCTACGTTCGGGGCTCCTGGCATCACTACTAGGAGCAAGGCCGCTACTAGGTCCTGGCCGTACTACTAGGAACAAGAAGCTACTAGAATCTTTGGATCAGACTTGCATGCTCCAAAACACAAGACATAGAAGGGAGAGCCCTGAATAAAGCAGTGTTGGGCTGCCAGGGAGAGCGGCGGAGCTTTGGGTTTGGGGCCTCAGTATTGCAGGTCACTCCAACGTTTCAGCATGGAAGCGGAAGAGGGTTTTGAATCTGGCGCAAGTACCTCGCACCCCCAGCAGTTGAGTGGTGCTTCACTCAGTCATGGTCAGCTCCCGCACTTTCTGGAGAAGGATTGAATCCCATGATGTATAGGCTGTGGCCTGTGGCCTAAAGGCCTGGCATTGCTGCCCAGGCCTTTTTTCATTCTTCACAATAGATATTTTGCGGTTCATTGCTAGATGATGGAGGCACAGAACATGTGTACCGTGTACCGTTGACTGAGACGATGGCGAACAGTTGTTCCCGAGGCGGCACGCTGGCGCAGCTGGCGAAGCGCCGCACGGCGCGGCGAAGGAGTTTGGCCCTACTCGAAGAGGCGCAGTCCGGTGGCAACTGGAGATATTCTTCCTGAGGCATCATCAAGGTACCCCTCAAGGCAGGTGAAGTTTACCTCTGTTTCCTGCCATCCATTACAGCAACAGCTCAGCTGTTGGCGCCCGGAGCAGCCGTAGAGGGCGCGGAGCGTTTTGCTCTGTACGCGTCCCCGACTCCAGGTGGCAGGCACTGGCCGTGAAGGTTTGCGAGATGTGCTGAAGCTTGGCCACGTAAACTGGGTCGGCAGTGGGGGCGTGTCTCTTTCGGGATTTCTCAATGAAGAGTTGAAAAGACACTGCTCTTTTTTGGTATCCCGGTTTTTGGCATGCTTCACACTTGGCAGATCTTGGCAGGAAAGCGACAAGAATCGTTTGACTCAGAAGGACGTTCCACCAGCAACTTCCAGGTTCCACCACTCAAGGCCTCACCAATGGTGGAACCGGGCCGGTCATGGTTGGCTCCATCCCAAGTGCACCTCCAGGCACAGTGAGGATAACCATCCTGATCCGAGGAACGTGAACCTGCTGGATCTCGAACCAGTGATCTGGGACTTGGAGGACAAACTCCTTCACTTTGGAAGATCGGGGTTCCCCGGATCCGGATCGAAGCGGGTTGCTCCGGTCCGTGCGTTGTCCGGACCAATTCCTGCTTGCGGCGAAAGAAGAGCTTTTTGTTGGTCATATTACAACCATGTGGAACGAGGGTAGCGGCAGCGAGAAAATCGTTTTCAGTTTTGTGATGTTTTGTGGGTGTGGCTGGCTCCAGAACCAAGACCAAAGACTAATCGCGAACAACCAATCCTCCGATTTTGGGCAACTGTCGCATTTTCCCATTGGTTTGGTTTTGTCCCCATGCGCCCGAAAGCTGCAGGAGTCCCGCGCAGAAGAGACCTTGCTGCTTCTGGAGACCCTCCATGCCGGCGCCACGTGGGCGAAAAAGGAGCGAGACGCCGGCTGTCTCCACCGGAGGGTTGACTCGGACGCTTCGCGGGTGATTTCTGACCCGAATAGGTCTACGTACCATTCTGGTGCATAGACGAATCTTCTAAGATTCTTGAAGAATACTGTATGTTTCTATTTTCCTTTTTTTGAGAGACTAGAGTGCCGAAGCACCTGAATTTTCAACTGTTTCAAAGTTGCTTTCACCCCAAAGAGTTCTGAAAGTCCTCGGGCCCACCGACGAGGTCTCACGACCCCGGTGGCCGGGCCCAACCACCGCTCCGACGTTGCCTGGGTCAAGCACGTCAGCAGGTGCTGGGACGCGAGCTTTTGGTGACCGAACGGGAGTGGAAGAGGCCGCCCTCGAACCGAAACTGGCACGGAGCTGGTGGTGTATTTGCGGAGTGCTTTCGGCAGAGGCATAGTGCTTGGGGTGTCCAACACAATAAACAAAGTGGGCGTACCTATTGGAAGCAACAAACACTGTACTACTAAGCAGGTTGGATGGTCATGTTCTTTTTGATCTTGGAGCTGTGTTTGTCTGACGTCCAGCACACATGTCATTGGCCCTGTTTACAACTCCAGCGCATGGATTTCGGGATGTGCTGGATCAATGAATCAATGACCTTTGTTTCGTGGGACACAAGTCTCTGTTTCGCGCTTTTCAAATCATCACTGTAGACTTATTTTGGAGTTGATGTCAAAAACACGACAATTTAAGTTAATTTACACAGGATGATGAGCATGTGCCAGGCTGGAAGGCATGAGGGAGTCTATCCCCAGTGAGGACGTGACTTGGCAGCCCGAGCGGAGTAGAGATCCCGTCAACTTCGTCTTTTGCGCGACGAGTCGTGCAGCGGATGGAGACCACTCTTCCTCACAAGCTCTTGAGATATGGTCAACTCCGGTTTACTCAAAGCACGACATGACATTCTTGGCAACCCCAGGCTTGGCGAGTGTCCTCATGAGCTTAGGTCGGCTAGGTCACCGGCTGGACTTTTTGGGGGGTCCCACTTTTGCACTCACAAAGCACATGAACCGGCTGTCCAACCTCCCACTTCAAGAGCGACTTCCGTGGACCGTTGATGAGGTCCAGCGGCGGACCAAACTCATCAACCGTCTCGGGCCAAAGACGCTGTCTCAAGATAATGGTCAGGCCTGAGTGGGATGGGCGGAACTGCCAAATGGGCAACCGATGAAGGATGAAGGGCGAAGGATCTACTGCGTCCCTTGACCTCACCATTTTGACATAGCGGTCATAGATCCACCTCTCGATTTCTTCTTCCTCCCGTGAAAACGAGAAAAGTATCAGAAAGGGCAGGGAAGACATGTTCATGTCAGAAAAGGCTTTGGATGCTAGGACAGGGGTCCATTCAGGTCTCACAAGTTTACATCATTTGGTCGTTTCTTTCCCACACCTTCAAAGCTATGTATGTATATACATGTTTTTAGCAGCGATCCAAGTTACGTGGTCTGGATGTCCTACATCTCTTTGGATCGCTGCGAAACAGTTGCCGCGATCGCTGTCGTTTCAACCAATGAGTTTGAGTTCAAGAAACCAGGTGCGTCGACGGACATGAGAGAGTTCCAATAGATAGATAGAGACCACCAAGGGAGGAGTTTCTCTAATTATCTAAGATCTATTTTTTGTTCCGGTTTGGGAGGACCAACTAGTTTCCTCGAGGACCTCCCCTATTGCTTTCTTTGGATTCACGGCCCGTTGAACGGACCCAGCGCCAGGTGGGCGCCTTTGGCTCGCCGGGAAGCCGAGACCAAGACGAGCAGAACATGGCAGGACGCCGCAGGAGGTGATTGGCGGTTTGGGGGACGAAACGATGACGGAAACTGCTTCAACGGACCATTTTGGGATTTGGTGGGATGTATTGGGGATGCATTGATGATGTTATTTTTTTGCGAAGACATCATGCATTAGTGGCTTTGGAGTTTAAAGTTAGGCAAGTTGCAGCCATCTCTGGGTGGTTTTTGGGCACACTTCAGACTTCAGTCAGAAGGCAGACGATAGACTGCATTTGGCTTTGCCCAAGCTCGGACGGTGCAAGAACAAATGTCACAGTCTTGTGGCGCAGATAGATGAATTGGAATCCCCAGTTAAAGTTGTCACCCCTTTCCAGCACCCACACACACACTGATGTCCAGCACACACACATATACACTGATAAACCCTTCCGTTGATGTCCGTTTTTCCCTGGGTTCCTAAACCCCATTGAGGAACATCCCATCCGCAAGCCCCAGAGATGGCCATTCCAATCCCCAGGGCATCTTGCTTGGCTTCGGGCCTCTCTTTCAGGCCCTACCCTTCGCCGGCCTCCATCCTGGGACAGGCTGGGTATTTTTGGGGTGCCGTTCTGTTGCTCTGCAAACATCTGGGTGAAGAGGAGGTGACTGATTCGCATGGTGTGAAAATAAGAGTCACACTAGCATTTTCCTTGTGGAGCCGCGTGTTGTTCTGTGCAGGGTGTCTCTCCCCTGTCGCTGGGACGTGCGAATCTCAGTGGAAAGTGCTCTAGTTCCTGTTTCTGCCCAGTGAAACACCTTGCTGGAAGCTGCCGCTAGCCATGCAGCTTTTTGCATGTTTTTTTCAAAAGAGTGATCATTGTTAGTTGCTTTTGAGCAATGTTGACTCCGACGAGGGGCTGTGAGCTTCCCTCCGAACTTGCCGACGCCAAAGGCAAGGAACTGCTTCAGGTGGTAGTCTTGGTCGCTGGTTGAGAGTGAAGGAGTTTTGCCACGTGTGCAAAGAAACCATCCATTTCCTGCGGAGATCATGCTACACAGGCACATTTGACCACGTGGCGGGCTCGGCTTTCGGTCGATGGGGGCGACTTTGGGTTTCTGGACAATGAGCAGAGCAGATAGGCAATGTGGGATTTTGTCCTTAAGCGTTTGGAGGAAGACTTTGGACAGGCACAAATCCGTGAAGATGGTTGTCCATTGCCTTTGTGAAAGTTTGCTGCAGCCTCCAAGTTGATCGTCTTCAACGTTCAATCGTTTCTGCTGCACGTCTATGACAGCGTTGCTAAAGAACAAGAGGTTTTCTTTGTAGTACGTAGCAGTTTACAGCTCAAGCTTCGTCACTTTTGCGACCATGGCAGAGGAGCTTTGCTGGCCGGTGGGGTGGGGGCGTCGGATGAGTTCGAACTCCAAAGAACCAAACGTGCTGACCAAGAGGAGCCGAGTCGGTCTGTGTCATGTGTTCGAGGTTTCTTTGGGGGGTGTCCCACTTGGTTCCACCACTAAGAAACTTCCGACCATGGAAAGACCCTACTCCAACCTGGATGGCTGGCAAGACCTTTGATTGTGCCGAATGCACTTCTTTTCTCGTGGCCCGCAACTGGACATGGGGCCGGTGTTTGTCCAAGAAGCGTTGCAAAGGAGAAACCGTCATTGCCAGCGGACTATGTGGTGCCAAAGGTGCTTGTAGCAGAACCGGGGTCATTGCTGGAAACCCAAACGTTGGAAGCTCCGAAACAACTACATATTGTATAGCCCTTCGGGATTGGAATTGGAGTGAGCCGAACATGGAGCCGTTGAGTGATGCTGGGTGAACATCGTGCAGACATGTGAACTGATGAAGAACTAGGAGGCCGCATTTCTGCACCACCATGATCCCAGTGAAGTCCACAAAAAATGGAGCCCAGTGGGAAGAAGGTTGCTGATCCCAGGTGTGCCAACCATTGTGCCGACCGCGACCGTCGCCCCGATCGCATCGCTTTGTCGCACTGACCGGTCCGGCTGAGTCAGACTCTTGGACCAGAGGTGGCCACCAGCAACGCCCCAAAATCGGGTCGTGAAAGGACGTTGCTTCTCGTTTTATATCGCCGACTCTATGCGGTCCAAGCGCGGCCCGGATGGCAGCGCTGGTTGCTTCTCGTTTTAAAAACGTAAGACAGCTCCTGGGAGGCCCTAATTTTGGAGGCAGAGGCGATTTGTTGGACTCACCGGATCGGCTGGGTTGAAAAAACCAAGCACCCCAAACCCTTCGATGAAGCACAGGATCTTTGGTAGACACCAAACACACATTTGTTGGTCGCCTCCTGGGTCACTTCATTCTTTCATAGCTAGTAGTAACAAGTGCCGCGCTAGTAGTAACAGGTGCCTTACTAGTAGTAACAAGAAGCTATTAGGAACAAGTGCCACGCTAGTAGTAACAGGTGCCTTACTAGTAGTAACAAGAATCTATTAGAATTAAATCTAAAATCATGTCATTTCGGGTTTTCAACTGTAAACATCGCCAGGTCTGGGAGTACAAGGAGCAGGGCGGCACCTTCGGCGGCACCAATCGGCCCTATGCCGGCGCCTGGGGCGAGGACGGGAGAAGCGATGTCACTTCGGAGATCCAAAACTTGTTTTGCGTGACGCGCGTTGCATGGAGCTGCGCAGCGCAGACACCCCAAACTCGTCCTCATCTTGTTCAGTTTGGGGATCCAACAATTTGTTTGGCAGCAGCACGACAGCGGAGGACAAGCCCTTAGAGAAGGGCGAGCACAAGATCCAGCTGTATTCGATGGGAACTCCGTGGCATCCTCAGAGGGCTCAGTAAGCTCTGCCGCACAAATTCTCCCCAAACCTCACAGTATGTATCGTTTGGGACAAGGAACCAACCTGGAAAGAGAAGACACCATGTACATAAGCCATCTTAACTCTCTCGCGCTCTCTCTCTCTCTCTGTCTCTCTCGCTCGCTCCCTCCCTCCCTCCTCCCTCCCTCCCCCTCCCTCCTCCCTCTCCCTCCCTCCCTCCCTCCCTCCCTCTCTGTAATTACATAGGTCCATTTGTTTCTGCTCAGTGAACATTTCCCGAGCCCGACATTGCCAACAGCTGCTCATGCTCCCTGCCCAGGAACGGGGTCAAGGTGACCATCCTCCTGGAGGAGAAGCGTGAAAACCACCAGATCCCGAAGCCGTTTGCCAAAAAACCTGCTGTCTAGTGGTTCAGAACGGCTACATCTTGTGCCTGCAACATAGACAGAACAGTCTCTAAGAGTCGTTGGTTTCTAAGAGTCCCTGGGTCCCTGCTTTTGATTCTTTTCTCCTTGGCTTCTCATGCAACAACACGCATGCATGGCCTCGTGGTTCGTGTCGGTCCAGCCACAAATAGATGGGAGCATGCCTCAAGGAAGGACACCTCATGAAATCTTCACCAGTAGATCAAGTGGACATAAATCTCAAACAGTCTCGACTAAGGGTTTTCCATGTCTTTTCCAGCATTTTTCCAACCGCAGGAGTTGGTGGAGACCTTCCCCGACTTCGAGTACGATGCCTGGCTCATCCCCATTAACGGCGTGCAGTTTACCTCAGGCTTCCATTCGGTGAACCCCAACTCCAAGATCCCTGCGATGATGGACTACTCCGACAAAGACAAGCCGGTGGGATCCGGTGGGGGGGGGGGAAGACACCTCCGTTCGTGGACCCGAGCTCCGCGGCCTCTGGGGGACCGGAGCCCCGCGACCGAACGCTGAGTGCTCCGTGCCTGCTCTTGGACGTGCCAAGCACAGCAAGAGCATGGGACCGTCACGTGACCAATCACCTCCAAAATGGCTTGTAGATAGAAAAGTGAGGCCAGTGTAACATTTCAAAGACACCCTTTCTGTTTGTTTGGGACCTTATTTTCAGAGTTGACATTTTGAGTCGGACTAGGGCTGTTCTGGGAATTAAACCCAGGACCTCTCGCACCCTAAGCTAGAATCATGCCACTAGACCAAACTATCTGAATCATGTGACGGGGATCTCCGACAAGATTGTCTGGAGTGTTGACAAACGAACCGCGATTTTCTTCAAAATCGTGAGGTGGGATGTGGCTATTGCCACGCGACGCCGAGTTACATCCACCAGATTCCATCAAAACATGTCTTTGCTCCGCCATGTGTGCCATGTGAATCGAAGGTGAGAGTTTTCGAGTCGGGCTCCATCATGCTCTACTTGGCTGACAAGTTTGATAAAGACGGGAAGTTCTTCCCGAAGGAATACCCCGCACGTGCCCTGGAAGAAGACACATAGTTCTTGGTTCATGATTTGAGACCACCTGAAGACAGGTGCGGCTAAATGCAAGAAAGCACTCCAAAGCGATGATGACTTGCACTTGGTTCGTTTTGGTGAGCCAGAAGTTCGTGGGAACCTAAAAGAGAAGTGTAGGGACTGGAGGCCAATTTTCGAGGTGCGTGGGCCTGCACATCGAGCGACTCAGTCACTGCAATCTCACCAACGCAGGTCTTTCCCCATCGGCACTGCAACAATTTGTTCCCCAGTAGCTAAAGAATGTTCAAGGTAGTAGATGACCCTCAGATGGCAGGATATACATTTGGGCAGTAGAAACCTCTTCTGTTGCAGTAGAGTTTCTATAACGGTCTTGTGCCTTCAGCAGCTCTTTTTGGGTCGTCATCCCAGTCATCCCTCTTCAAAGTACCTTTTTGATACTACGTAGAACGAGGATTTCATGGACTTTGCGGCCCCTGGCACCATGTCCACCGAACCAAAGTTCATGCTTCGCCAGGTGTGGACGAGGACTCGTGCCAGTGGCGTCCGGTCCTGAGGTGCCGAGTGCCAGAGCTGGCTCATGTGGCAGATGGGCAGCGCGCCCTTCATTGGTGGTGGTTTCGGACACTTCTATCACTATGCGCCTGTCAAGACGCTTGTTTGCTGCGACACGTTGAGACGTTTCACCATCTTGGAAGGCATTCTACATCATACAGAATCATACGCGATTATGTCATATGTCTGACAAATGCCTTTTCCCCCAGATAGCGATAGCTATAGGCTATAGGAGTTCTTACTTCTCAATGACTGGGTGCCTGTATTCCGTTTTGGTTTGACGCTGCTGTGTGTGGCTGCTGTGCCCCTACTGTGCCGCTGCTGCCTTGTCTCCCCACTTGCCTCACGGGCTCGCTGGGCACAGAGGAAAAGATGCGCTTCCCCGCTTCCCTTTTTGAGTTAGCTGCTATCTGGGGTCTATGCCGGTGTAGTATCTTTCTTTTCACTCATGTGAACTCGTAACGCTGTGCGGCATATATATATATATATATATAGTAGCTCCACTGCGATCTGTTTCTTCCCCCCTTTGTGCGGCGCCAAGTCACTCGATCCGAAGCCATGTCTGTCCCCCTGCTCCGCGAGCAGCTCGGTCAGAAGTTCAACTGTTCATACTCCGCTCCCAGGATCGAGTATGCCATCAACCGCTATGCCATGGAGACCAAGAGACTGCTGGACGTCTTAGACAAACACCTCGGCGAGGGAAGCAAGCAGTACGTCTGCGGTGACCAGTCGCTGGACGAATGTGCATCGATGGCCTCACTTATGCCCTTGGTGGGCTGATTTATAGAGGGGATATATAGACCCCAAATGAAAAACGACCAATAGGTATATGGTAGCAGATCCACCCCTCTATTAAGCGTTCTCTTGCTTGGGAAAGGAACCCACTAGGCTACTATCTAATTGGATATATATATATAGGTATATAGTCCTGGATAGAATAGGAACACGACTGAGATATGTTGAGATGTACCATTAAAGTCATGAATTCAGCAAATTTTAGCCTATACTTTGGTTTCATGCTCATACATGGTCATACAGGTGTGTCCCCGATATAGCAGGCAAGCATCTATGGTTTCGAGAAGTGTCCGAAGCAAACTTCATTTCGTTTGATGACATGAGGTGTCATAAGTTTGGGAAGCTTCGAGCCGCCTGGGGGAGGCTATGTTGCTTTGGGGTACATGGAGCCGTCATTGTTCTTGTCGATCGAGGTACACGATTGCTGACATGGCCATTTGGCCCTGGATTGGCTGGCTAGTGGATGGAAAGATCTACGGAGAAGCGGCAGAGTTCCTGCAAGTGCAGGAGACACGGGAAATTCCGATCAAATTCCTTCTCCTGTGAATCTCACCTCTACAGAACCTCTGGTTTAGTAGTGAAACTGCTCAACTTTGAGTCCCTGATGTGGGGGTTGTTTTTAGGGCAAGGGATTGCACTTGCAGTTTACAGTTGATTTGAGATGACAGCATCAGCATGACAACCGATCAGCGATTTTGGGCGCCTTGTTTTGCTGCTGGATTCCAAAAAACCACAACGAGCTCAGCCAGACCAGGAGTACAAAAACGTGTGTGCGTGGTCCAAGCGCATTGGAGAGCGGCCTGCAGTGTGTCTTGTCCGCCACTTGTGGGGTCGGCATGAATGATACTTGTTTTTGGCTACGCCACCGTTAGCGGATCGTCGAGGAGCTCAGATTTCGTGACAGGTGCAGTGAATCGTGACTTTTGGGCATGTGGCTCGTTTGCAGGCGCAGCACTTGGTGAACCTCGAAGTGCAGATTTCGTGGCAGGCGCAGCACTTGGTGAACGTCGAAGTGTGCAGATTTCGTGGCAAGAATAGCACTTTGTGAACCTCGAAGTGCAGATTTCGTGGCAGGCACAGCACTTGGTGAACCTCGAAGTGCAGATTTCGTGGCAGGCGCAGCACTTTGTGAACCTCGAGGCGTAGATTTCGTGGCAGGTGCAGCACTTTGTGGACCTCGAAGTGCAGATTTCGTGGCAGGCACAGCACTTGGTGAACCTCGAAGTGCAGATTTTGTGGCAGTCACAGCATTTGGTGAACCTCGAAGTGTGAGGAGTGCGGCTGTGAGTGGGAGTGGGAGAGTGAGTGTGCGTGCGAGTGTGAGTGAGAGTGAGAGAGTGCAGATTTCGTGGGAGGCACAGCGCTTGGTGAACCTCGAAGTGCAGATTTTGTGGCAGGCAGAGCGCTTTGTGAACCTCGAGATGCAGATTTCGTGGCAGGCGGCAGGCGCAGTACTTTGTGAACCTCGAATCACAGATCTAGACATCTTGTCAGGATGCCAGGGTGGTCTTGACCCTGCTCCGCCTGCGCCTCACGGGCAAGCAAGGCGCAAAAACCCCATTTCGAATAGCTCAAAGTATCTTCTCTGAACCTAGAATCGTCTTTCGAAGATAGACGCGCTTGCCAGGAGATCCTCGGGGGTTCAAGCTCCAGGTTCCCTTGGCAAGCTCTACCGTTGGCCGCAAACGCACGCAACTCACAAAATAAGAACTAATTAATCTTAAACGTCAAGTTCACTGCGGACTGACTAAGGCCGTGGGTCGCACAGCCAAGAGGTCCGCGAGGTGATCTCGACGTTTTAGCCGGGGCACCCAGCGCCAAAACATTGAAACAAAAGCCACAGACATGCCCAGGCCCCGCGGAAGTCGAGCTGATGAACCGGGACCTGGCACGAGCCGACCGCGAAGCCAACTCGGCTTCTTGGATGCAAACCAACCGACAAACAAATCGTTGATCCAAAATCTGCGCAGTAGCAACAACAGGTAGGCAGTGAACTCAATTGTCAATCTGAGGCATTGCAAGCCTTGGCCAGGGTCAACGAGCAACTCCAGGCGGGTCGGTTGGATGCCCTCCTCTACCAGGACGAGCCCGGCGGCTGGCACGCCTCCGGGCGACCCGCGCGTTCGGGTGTACCAGAGCAGAGGCCAGGTACGGCCAGAGCAGGTAGGTACACCCGCTGGTGCGGCGGCAGCGCGACGCCCCGGCAGCACAGGAGGAGCCTTCGGACAAAGAAACATTTAAGTTCTGCAAATTCACCTGCAACGAAAGCTTGTCGCAGGAAGTCCGGGCATTCGAGAGCGGCCGCGGGATCCGGCGCGCCCCGCCTTGCTGGCGGCGATCCTGCGAGAGCGCCGCCGAATGCAACGCTGGCCAGTGCTGCAGCGTCTACTTGCGGCTAGCCCAACAGCGCGGAGACGGTGCTGAGGACAGAGCGTTTCCAACAGTCACCGTATGTCAACGGGCCGCCCACAAAAACCCACTATATAGGAAACTTTTTGTGCTAGACACCTTCGGAAATCATATCAAACGCACAAGCCCTGCCGATGGACGCGGAGGCCTTCCTCCTTTACACTCATTCTTCACTCAATCTCACATTCACACTCGCACTCACTCCCACTCCCACTCGCACTCACACTTCACTCTCACTCACACTCACGCTCACACTCTCACTCTCACTCTCACTCTCACTCACTCACTCACTCACTCAC